CACCATTTGTATGTCTTGTAAAGATATCTGCATGACACGACTTCCGTCCCTATTGAATTTTCCAACAGCATATGCCACACGACATATTGCACAACAGCATATAGGTGACGCGTACTCAATCGACCTCATCACCTAAAGAAGACTAACAGTATGTAGTCGAACGTTGCCATCCACATCCGAAGTGACCACATCGTGATACAAACCATAATATTATAGTGTCTTATGATGAAAAGATTATTTACTACGATGACAAAACCCAATCTTTTTTACCATAAATTTTTACCGCAATTATGCGACGTGGAGTACCAATGGAATGTTTTCAGTTCACGCCCTGCCAAACGCAAAAAATGATGCACCCACCTACACAGTCGTTTAAATGAATAATCTCTTTTACGATCCGCGAATTTGAACAATGAATATACATGTTAAATCGTGGGGCTGAAAGCTCCTTATTCAGAGATTTTGATAAAATTACGGGTTAGTTGTCAGCACAAAGGAAGCAATTACACACCATTTTTCATCTCCGGTTATCTCTTGATATCCTCATTAAAAACTTCCTTGAATGGCCTTTTGCAACTGACATCATGAAATAAAAAAGTGACAAATTTCCTAAAAGTTTCAAACGAGAGAAAGGTGTCGCGGTTCTAAATTATCTTAAATGGCCAGTTTAAACGATAATTACCCGAGACATAAATCAAAGTTTGAGAAGCCTTAAGAGTTGCCAATATTGAGATCACTATACCTTTATGTTGTTTTGAAGCCGACGTCGAAAGACAGGTGACCCTGAAAATTTGGACAACACTAAAAAAAATGTTTGTCTAATTTCTTTTAATATAAAGCATATTTGCTTCTTTGCAGAAGCGCCTGATTTGGAAAACAAGTTCACCTTTTCATCGTAGACTTTTAAACAAAGTATTTTAGTAATAGATGAATATTAATATCTCACTGCGTCTAAAAGTGGAACGTTCGTGGTTTCGACGACTAAGAATGCGTATATTCATGCTTGAAAGACACTTTCTGATGGTCTGTAAACTGGGAAGTGTGTGTGAGTAACTGTCTTCCCATAAATATAGATTTCCTGAGGAATTTCAAGAAATAAGAGCTCGCAGTACGTTTCTATTCAGGTGGGGCTTGTTAGGTTAGTGACACTGACTTGACTTTTTACAACACGCACTGTAATTATGCCATTTCTAGTATACATGAGATAATTACGCGTTTCTAATTGGCTAAAAACTAATACATTTTTCATGTTATACGAATGCAAACTTGTAACACGAGTGCAAATTATTAATAGAGCGCACTGTCAAAATT